GAAGTTATAATATTTTCAGTAAAAAAAAAAAAAAGAATATTTAAAAAATAATTACAAGAAAAAACATCAAAAAATAGTGCTTCATATATTATAGGGTAGGGCTCTTAATAATTAAAATTTGTTTATTTCATCAGAGCATATTTTAGTTAACAAACAAGGTAACGTAAATATTACCCAGTAAAATAGAGGCACTGAATAAAAAATTTTTCGAGTTAAAGATTTTTTTTTGTTTTTATTTTTAAGGTATTAACTTATTGACTACAATTATGAAATGTTATGCCAAAAATATGGCGATCAATTCAATTTTTTAAATATATTTTCTGGTATCATTAGATTTAAGAATAATTTCAGCAGCGTAAGTTAACATTGTTTTAAATAGAACCTGAATAAAAACCAAATTCCATGTAGAATATTTTGAGAATAATTTTTTATTTTGATGATTTGAACTTATTAAATTGCATAAGCTATGCATAAGATATTTTTATTTTATTTTAGAATAAAATAGAATATTAATAGAATTTTTAATAGAATAATAGATAGGAACTAATAAAGTCTTATTTTAGTTACAACTTACATTCATAACGAAATAATTACTTACAACTAAATGATTCTTTTGATAAAATTATAATAATATTAAATTACTATACAGGCTTAATATATTTTCATATTTTATAAACAATATACAAACAACTATTATAGCTTCTATAGAAAAACACAAATATTTATTTACATTCCATAAATGTACAGGCCGACTTAATTTTTATAATTCAATCTTGTGTTCTTAAATTTTCGAATTATCAAAGTAAACATTGTATAAAATTCCTCACTTCTTGTTTAATTGTAATTCGTTTTACATTTTTGTATTATAGTAATTAGTGTATACCAAAAAAAAAATGGCGAACACATATCCCGGAATGGTGACTAATAAGGTTTTAGCTTTTGAACAATTGATCAAAATTACTAATGAAACAAATATATGTAAACCAATTATACAACGCAAAAAAATTAAAGAACTTATTTTTGAATTTAATCGACCAAATCAAATAGTTGGTCCAACAACAGATAAATTGGCAAACAAATCAGTTTATAATATCACAAATTCAGTTATTAATACAAACAAAGATATAAAAAAAATTATGTTTAAGGGTAAGTCAAGGGTACATTTAGATAAATTGTGGCCAATACAAAATTATTTAAAGAATACATTTTATAATTTTCCTATCAAAAATAATGATTTGTGAAATATTTTAGTTCAACGTTTGTTCTCTCTAACGCTGAGTTTAATCAAATAGAAATTCAGCTTAACAAAATTTCATTTTGATGTGTTTTTGGTACACGACTTTATAACGTCAAAAAAAAAAAAATCATAATAATACATTTGCAATTTTATGTGAGAGTCACTGTTATTACTCTATATAGCCTATTTAAAAATTTTAAACAAAAAATGCTTTTAATATTACAAGCAAAAATAGAGTTTAAAAAGTATCGACAAATCATGAGCTTTTGATATTCAAAAGCCAGAGAATTCTTGTTCACTCGTTTGAATATAAAAATAATGAGACAATATGTTAATATTAGACACACCCAACTTAACAATAGTCATAGGTCATGTGGGGCAAATGTAAATGAATGGGGTAATAATAAATTCATTATTTTTTTTAGACTATATAATAGTTATTAAGTCAGATAAAGCAATTTTAATCGTCAAGTATATAGTTATGTTTAAATATAAATAGAAAATTAAAAGTTATGTATTTCGTTTAAAAATGCATTTACATTTAACCCAATTGGCCATATATAATAATAATAAAAAAAAAGATAAATATTATTAATACGTTTTGAGGAATAAAGAACAAAATTTCTTTTTTTGAAAAGAAAGCCACATCAATTAAGAACTCTAATAATATAATGATTAAAAATCAACGCAAAAATATATTGAATAAAGCCAATGATTTAAAAAAGATTAAAGAACATGTAAATGAGCAAGACACTACAGAACAGAAAAAAACAGAAAATGATAATAAAATAACTAATAGTTTAGAATTAAACTTGTACAAAGATACAATAAAGGAAAAAATTATTTTTTTTTGAAAAGAAAGCCACATTAATTAAGAACTTTTATAGTAATATTATTTGATTAATCAACTATAAATTTAAAATTACTTAATTGATAACAACTTTTGGATCAATACTTCGGGAGTTTTCTTATTTTTATACTTGTGCAAGAGAGAGAAAGTGCGGACTGGTAATGTGTAGCGATAAAAATAACAGCAGCACCCAATCCTCACCTACAGTCATAACTTTAAATTGTTAATAACTTCTGAAATATTAATTCAAAAGTTAATTTCCACCAGTTGGATATATTCAATCTAACAACAGTCATAGGTCAAGTGGAGCAAATGTAAATGAAAGAGATAATAATTAATTCATTATTCCTGGTAGAATTTATGATAGTTATTACTTTAGATAGGAAATTTCCAATAGTGAAGTATATAGTATAAACATATATTTGTTTTTTATCAATAGAAAATTAAAAGTTATGCGCTTCGTTTAAAAATGCATTTACATTTAACCCACTTGGCCATATAGCAATCAAAATAATGATAAATATTATTAATACGTTTTAAGGAATAAAGCAAAAAATTTCTTTTTTTGAAAAGAAAGCCACATCAATTAAGAATACTAATAATATAATGATCAAAAATTAACGCAAAAATATATTGAATAAAGCCAATGATCTAGAGAAGATTGAAAAAAGATGTAAGAAATATAAAAAATAACTAGACAGATAATAATTATCAGATAAATGATGGCATAGAATTTAACTTATATGAAGAAAGAGACTTTAAACAAGATCAACCCAGTTGACCAAGAGAACCAAACTGACTTAGATAATAAGATAATCGATAGTCCAGATGAAAGCAACCAAACATTTCAAATTAAAAGTAACAATGAACAGTCCATGGAGGAGGAAGGACATTTTGTAAATGAGAAAGACTCTACAGAACAGAAAAAAAACAGATAATAATAGTAAAATAACTAATATTTTAGAGTTAAACTTACACGAAGATATAGAATTTGAACAATACCAACACAATACTCACCGAGAGAACCAACCTGATATAGATGGTAGAGTATCCAATAGCTCAGAGAAAGAAGCGAAACATGTCAAATTGAAATTAACAGTGAATGTCCATAGAGGAAGAAGGATATTTTGTATATGAGCAAGAGACCATAGAAGAGAAAAAAAACAGATAATGATAGTAAAATAACTGATAACATAAAATTTAAATTACACAAAGAAAGAGAATTTGAACAAGACCAAAGTAATGACGAAATGATAAATAGTAAGGAATCCGTTTCAATTTCTATAGATGAAAGTGTATTACCTCGTTTTCGAGTACTTAACTTGTCAAAAATGCCAAAATATAATAAAAACAAAAACAAAAAGAAAAGGAAAGGAAAGATATCTTATAAAAGAATGTAAAAAATTGAGAGATTGTTGACAACCCAAATTATTTCTATTTTATTCTTAAAAATGTAGATTAATATTAATAGGAGCTCAAGTTAACTTAAAAAATTTCTTTTTATAAATTAATCAAGCGACAATCACATGTATTAATTAATAATCTTAATTTGTCTAAATAAATGTCTTTATAACTAATAATATTTAATGAATATTTATTATATAGTCATTCTTTATTAGATAGTTTTAAAGATCATAATAAAAGTCGAGTGACTTGCGTTAAAAGAATCACTTTGTATATCAATAAACTGAATTGAAATAAAAATCGAAAAAAATGATTTCTGTTTAAAGCTCTAGTTAGTTAATGTTTAAATGTAAAAAGAGTATAGGTTATAAATTTTAATTTATTATAAGTTATACTTTGTATAATTTCATTATTTCTGGACCTAGAGAAATGGGGCCTAGGGTATTTAGTTTTGCAGAATACACTAAGTTGTACCAGAAGTAATATAAATTTTGATTCATCATCAAACGGAGATTATATCAAAAACAATGGTTTTAATCTTGGATAATTCAAAAGTCTTATATTTTTAAATATTTTACTTAAAAAATATTAAGAATATCAAAATGGAATTCCAATTTTTTCCGATTTTCAAAATAATATTTTAATAAATAGACATTTATGTCGCTAAAAAAATATGAAATTGTTATGTAAATATTACATTATTATCTAAATTATTATTATTAAACTAATTTAACTAGCTTGTGAACTGTTTAATAATAAATTAGATGACCTTAGGTAACAATATTTTATCACAAATTTAGTATTCTGTATTAGTCTCTTATAATTTTCCTCAACTACAATATCATAACTCTATAACCTTAAATATTATTTTAAAAACATCTGTAATTAAAATAATCGGTGGTAAGATATAAAATAATTTATTGCTGAACATCAAAATAAGTACTATCATTATGAAATCATATAATATGATTAATGTAAAATATCTAGGTTTAAGTTATTGTATTTAATAAGTTAATTATATACACCGAGTAGGGTCATTAAAATTTATTTTGTGCAACCATATTATTCTGGACTTTTAATATTGTTTTTATTATATTTCAATCAACTCTAATAAGTAATTCTAAACTTATTAAAATGATGTATTCTTTAACCTTTCTGCTATTGCCACCTAAAAATTATATATAAAATTACATAAATTTTTATATAGAAATTGTTTTTTAAGATTGGGATAAATTAAATTAGACCTTCCAAACATTTTTCTGAAATTGTGCTTATGTTACAACTATTAATTTGTATCAAATCACCAAAACGGAAAATTTTACATAATACTCTGTCATCGGCATTTTAAAGTTTTTGCAACGTTAAAAGTACATATATTTAATCTGACCTTAAATATAAAATGTTCTTTAATGACGAGAAAGTTTCGATAATATATTTATTTTTAATTGATAAGGGGCGCGTATTAATTACACTCTCTAACTTAATTACACTGTAAATGTTGATAAATGAAATCAATATAAAACAATCATTGTTTTGTGAAAAATGTCTATTATATTCTTAGACTTTGTTCAGCTTAACAAATTGGTTAGAAAAAATTTATTCTTGTATTTGATAATGTATGTAAGTACAAATATAATTTTATAATAGTTAAGTATTAAGAACTATTTAAACCTAATACACTTTTTTACTTTACTCTGTGCAAGTTTCGTGTTATAACTATTTTTTAATTAATTAGTAATTAACTATTTTTAGTTTAAAGGACAAAAACTGATGTTATACACTCTTGCTTTAACTTCTCACATATTAGCTGCGCCACCATCAAAATCATCGGAATTAGCCAAAGTGCTTGATATCAAGACTAATGTTACTTCGGGACAAGTTGAAGACATCCTCCGAAAATTGTCCTTAGCATTGGCCCCGGACTCTTCTGTGGAAGGTCGCAAAGAAATACATTATAACAATCATCACAATTCTAAACCGCATTACAGTGCTATAACGTCGCTTATTCATTTGTTAATGACCATTGGAAGTACCATTGCTCCGTTAATTGGTGCCATACTAGGTCCACTTTTGTCTAACATAGCTAATGGGATTACTTGGGCGATCACTCATACAATCGCTTCTGGTAAAACTTTTATTTAAAAATGTTATGAAACAGCTTTTATTTAATTTTATAATAAAAAAGTCGTTCCCTCTTTCATTGTAAAATTTTATAAGATAATTATAGTTGCGGGGAAAAAAAACTACCTTAAAAGTTACCATAGAAAATGAATATTACAATTAATCAATTGGTAATTCAAATTGAAACACATGTATTATATTTACTATATTATCATAATATTATGAATAATCCCATAAAGATTTATAACCTTTGGTAGTTATTTTCAAGTAGAATTTCTATTTTGTCTATTTATTATATCGACACTAAGGGGAAATTTTATGTTCTAGGTTTTTCGTTCCATAATTTATTTAAGCCCACTTTAGGACATGGATCCGAATACAGTCATTATCATCACCAACATCATCCAACAACTTACATAGCAGATGGCGAATCAAATGGAATCGTTGATCGTGTTGAAACATCCACTGCCGGGGAAATAGAAGCCGCAACCGTAAGAGTCATTGGAACATAATAAAGCACAAATAAAATTTGAGTATAAAAGAAGGAAATGCAAATTTAATTATTTATTTTTAGCAAATTTTTAATTAGTAAATTAAAGTAAAACGTGGGGGGGTATAATGTATTTTCGGAGTGTTATTATTGTATGGTACGTTATACATTATTACAAAGCTACTAGAAATTAACTCCAAAATTTTTATATTTAATTTAATATTATATTGTACATAAAATATACACAATATAAAATATGATAGTTATAATTATTAATATTGTAATTTAAAAAAAAATTAACTATGTAACACTTTAAAATAAAACCAGGTTTTTGCCCCAAGTGCAAAACTAGCATTAAAAATTACTTTCAGAAATGAAAGTAAATTCTGTCATACCTAATGACTGCTGTTTGTAACTAGTAATTTAACATGTAATAAATTTGAAAACTGTGTATTTTCAAAAGTGTATTAAACAAAAATGAACTTCAAATATAATATTTTCAATAGATGAGGCAATATAAATATGTAATGTCCCATGGCAAATAGAAGTCATGTAAAAAATGACAATAACGCAACGACGCTTAATTAAATGTACTTATTCTTTAAGAAAATCGTGTGTTATTCACCAGATATTTTTATTATAAAACTTTTTATTAACTTTAGATTACGTTTTAATAATAATTATATCAATAGATTTAAGTTGAAACGAAAACTTATTTTAATAAAACTTCTTTTAATTATTTCGTATTTTAAATAATAGTCTACTTTGAGAAGAGTCGTTATAGAAAAATATTTAGACGAATAAAAATATTTTTTAATTGTAGTCTAATGAGATTTTAGGACGATTGTTTAGAAGTCAGTTTTTAATGTATTCATAATATTGATTGGTCCATATTGTGAAATAATAAGATATTTAGCTCCAGGAGATAAACACATAACTATAAATTATTGAATTACGTTATAAAAACATTATACTAATAAAAATGTCACTTTGCGTCTTTTAATCTTAGGAAAGACTTGTTTTTGAGAAATATTTTCAACCTTATCATTGAGAAATTTAGAAAAATACTTTAGATTTTTATAATATGTAAGTCAAGGTGTCGTATTAAGAAGGTTTTAATATTATAAATAAAGATTATTTGATGTTATATTTCGTGTTTGTTTGTATTGACAAACTTTTTATTATAGAATTTATTTAATAACAAAAACAATATTTAATTAAAAACACAGTCTAACCCGATATAAGTTAGAGAAGAAGGAACGCCCATTAGATAATATAAAATTTTCTTTTATAAAACTTACACACGTTTACTTGATAAAAATACTATTTTTCAATAACAAATATCTGAACTTTACATTGTACGACATGAATTGACCTCGTTTATGAAATTTCACAATTTGTATAGATACATACAAACACAAATTGATTTTAAGAGTTCATGATTTATGCCACTGGTTTTTACTAATTCCCATAAAAATAATTTATGGGCATTTGTCAAAAAATATTTTCCATGTATTTAATTTTATTCACATAGGAATTTAACGAATTCGGAGTACCGTTATAGCGATGTACTGGCACTGAAAAATCATAAACATTACAATTTAAGTCACAGCCATTTCAGTTTTAACGTGAAGGTCTGATATAAATTGCACTGTGCGTAGTTAAACAAATATACACATGTTAGTACGTCAATATACGTGTGAATCGATGTATTAAGGTAAATAATTTAAGCCCGATGATCAATTATCATTTGAATGATTGAAAGCAAAATCCTGACAAATAAGCAATGGGCAACGAAAAAATGTGTCGTCGCCGTTTCTATTTTATCACAATTCAAGATGACTGCTAAATATTTTATTATATACGTGCTCTTGATACTTAAACGAGTTTAAAATTTTAATTATCACTGAAGTATAGGCGATTACACTATACTTTATTGTCTTGGTTGGAGTACCTACACTTGAGTTTCAACGAACAATGTCGCTATTGTTGTCGTACTTGGATATGTCAATCTAATACAGGTATTTTTCATTCAGTGCGTATTGACAATATTACCAGCTGTACCTGTTAAAAACATGCCGTTTTATTTATTCTTTGTGTAACTGTCAACTCGTCCATAGGTCATGATTTTTGTAGCTCGTGTTCATCAATAACGGATCTAAACTTCCTAATTGAAAATTACAGGTTTGTCACCTAAATGCACGTCGTGTACATCAAATGAATACCGCAAATCGGAGAGCAGATCGTTTACCTTGCGGTGGCATTGAACAGGTATACACATGTCTAGTACGTGGGGGATCAAGTCGCTCATTACACTTGTGAGTGGCAACGTTATGCAAGAACTAAGTTCGTCACATGCTGTTAATCGCGTTCTATAAACTGGTTTGGTGTAACGAATAACGACCATAACATAATTGTGCCTCGAGTCGAGATTCAGTGAGTCGACGACAGTGTCTTGGTCGCCGTCTCATCGAAAATAACTTTAAGGATTAATTAACGAAATGGCGATGAATTGTTTATTATTGGCGTGTGCGGCAATCGCAATTTTCGGCAATGCGCAAGGAGTTGTCGAAAACGAACGGGTAAGAAGCAAATACAATGCATTTAGATAATAACACTAAACACATTAACCTACTAATTTTCTATAAAATCTCATTTGCATTTTAATAAAACGGGCGCTAGTCTCATTCTCTTGTACGTAACTAATGCATACACCTTATTATCGACTGTCAAATTAACTATTACAAACACAATCGCTACAGTGAACTGTGGGGATTTATCATTGTTATTTTGTCGTTAAAGGGGTTCGGGGACTATATGAAAAGTATAATGGATTCAATTACAAACGTCCTGTTTGGACAAGACGAGGATCGATCGGAACTGCCGTATGTGGGCAAGAAGGTAGTTTAACGTGTACATTAGTCAAAGTACAATTTAATTATTTTACGTTATGTAACTTCTTAACGACTAAAAATAATAGTAGTTAGTATGTACAAGAGATACAAGAAGCTCTTAAAAATGGGATATATTAATATTTGACGGGTACAGGGGAAAACGGTACAAGTACACTTTTTTTTTATTTTATCGTTCGATTTGATAGCTCATTAGTATTAGTATCCAGTAATGAAATGCATTCCATAAAAAATGTCTTCATTATTCTGATATTTAAGTGTCTATTTTATTTTATCATTAAAATAATAGAAATGAATAACTTTATTTTTGCCTTCTTGGAAAATTTACAGAAATGTATAATGCCCGTTTTCCCATGTACGCTTTATTTAAATAAAGGTTAATGAATTGAAATCTTTAAAATTATTATTCTACTTTGTGCCCTTAAAGTTACGATTGATAAATTATGTTGATTAAGAAAATCAGCTTTGTTGTTATGTTTCGACATATTAGGTCAAAGAACAAAATTGAGTTTTTAAAAATGTAATAAATAATATATATATATATTAAGTTTCTCTGTGCATTAATACATTACTATCTCAACAGAAATGTAATTAAATGCTTAGTTCTTCAGACGTTATTATATTTTATTAAAGGTCACTTAATTATGTATCATTTTTTCATAGACATGCTGCTAATTAGACTGTATTTAATAGTAATGTAAAATATTTTTAAGATATAATAAAATTTACAAGAATTTATACTCCAATACGAATGTAATTTATTAATTCTCCACAAAATAGATGTATACACATGTATTGTGATAATTTTTATTTTTTCTTACAAACATATTCTATGGCTTAAATATAAATATGTATTTTTTCAAAACAAAACTTTAAAATATAAGTACATTGTTAACACGAAAAGGCTGGATTGGGAAATACTTTATTTTTGGACAAATTTCAATTAAGCGCCTTAAATTAGCATAAATCAAAATGTTTTGTACGCCTTCCACACGAGTCTTACTTAATATTGCTTTTGAATGTTTACTGATAATTTGTTTGAATTCAATTAAACAACTTAATAAAAACAACTTTTAATTCAGGCGTAATACAATACAGAAATAATAATTAGACACAATATCACTAAATTGTTAGAATTTTAATAATTTTTTTAATGTTATAGATTAATATGGATGTTTATTATGAATCACATTGTCCTGACAGCAGAGATTTCATAAGAGAAGCACTGCACCCAATTTTTTGTAAAATTCAACCTTATATCAATTTGAACTTGATTCCTTTCGGTAAAGCCCACGTAAGTATGACATGGCTAGAATTTTGCGATAGATTATTTTAAAACATATTTTAAGTAGTAGATAAATGATAATACAAACAATATCATTAAAATTATATTAGTATTTCAAAGTTATAGCATTTTAATTACAAACTTTTACCATAAATACAATGGCATAAATTTGTAATAAATTAATTATTTTTAAATTACAGATATTTTTCGAAAGTGTGTAATACCAGAGTTAAATTTGTCGTTCAGATTATTTGTATTATTTAGTAAGAATTCCTAAAAAATCATAAGTTAACTTAAACTAAATACATAATGGTATCTTATCATTGCTTGAATAGTTAAACAATGTGTAGATCAGAGAATTTTTTTTTATTGTTGAGCTATTAATAATGAATACATGTAATTTTTTTAATAGACTATAAAGCATTTTATTATTTTACATGTTACTTAATGAGCTTCCTGTTTATGTATATAACGTGTCTATGACATGTATTTGATTAAGATATTGGATATTATTTTATCTGTTCCACAAAACGGAGAATCATAAAAGTTATCTTCAGAGAAATTATGAATTAGTTAAAAACAATAATAAATAAAAAATGTTATTTAAAAGATAATTAAGGACATCATAGAATGAAAATTATTGTGAATGCAGAATATTTATCACTGCGTACATGACATTGCAATAGATTGTGAAGAGACTTATAAATACTCTTCTTTACTTTATATAAATATTATACTTTAATATTTAAATTCTTAAATTTCCATTCATAGAAGTACAGATTATTAGGTATTTTAGTCCACTGTTCTAAAAAATTGTAGGAAATTGAAAAAAATTTGTATTTAAACTTGAATAATTTAAAATTATTAATTTAAGGACGACCGTTGCCATTAATGTAAATCACAATATCTGACAAATTAGGCAGTTTACTATTTTTCTATAATGTGATGGGATAATCTACTCCTTGATAGAAAAAAAAGATATATTCGTAAATAAAGTAGATTTTGGTCAAATTGAATTTTCAGTTGATATTATGACTAATATACTAATATTGATACTAAATTTTCATGTTTAAAGATGTTTAAATCCATAAAGTCATTTAAATTTAAATTAAAGCAAATAATATCTTTTTATATGTAATTACTATTTAAAAAGAACCGTCAATACTTCTGTTTTATTTAAAGTTTATATTTTAAAATACATAAGCTTAACGATTCAAAGATTATTTTAGTATCTAACGTTTCAAAAAACATAATGTATTTATATTTACTTAAACAATTTCAGTAAATGAATAAACTATTTTATAATATTCAAAGGTTTCAAAAAATAAATGGATTAGAAAGGAGGGATAATTTGAAGAGAGTGTCAGGCCATCCTTCTAGCTGACAAATAAAAAAAAAATTAATAAAAATGTAATTTTTAGAGCGTTGAAGGTGGTGGATTTGAATGTCAACACGGACAAAAAGAATGTCGTGGTAATACAATTCATAATTGTGTACTCAAACGAATTGCAGACCCTGTTGCTCAAGTTGATTATGTGAATTGTGCTATGTTAAATCCGGATAAACCAGGTCATATTGAAACAGCGGTAATTCAATTTTAAATAATTAGAGTAAATTTAGCAAATAATTCATTATAAAACAGTTATATACAATACTTTGTTGAAAAAAAAGTCGTATTACAAGAGGATATTACTGTAAATTTTATTGATCAAATTATTTTCATTGTTTATTGTTGATGTAATTATGTAATTTTTTACACAGTTAGTATGCCATTAGTATTAACACGTCGTATAATATTCACTGTGTAATTTCATAAATTACATTATTCAATAATCATTCTATCGAATCACTATTGGAAATAATTTATAAGTTTTAAACAATCTTTTTTTAAACTTGATGTTTATGAACTCTGCTACTTGGAAAGGTTTTTTTTTTAGATTTTATTTTTTTGCTGGGTTTCAAGAGTTTACAATAAAAACTGATAACTCAACTAATGGAAGTTGGTTGAATTTTGATAATCAGTTTGCAGCATGACTGATTAATTGTTAATCAATTTAAATAAAGTAAATACAATTATTATTTTCTTTTTAGTGTGTTCAAATATCTGGATTGAATCCTATTGAAATTGAATATTGCTATAAGTCAAAAGAAGGATATGAACTGATGTTAAATGCAGAAAGAGAAACCAAAACAAAAACACCTGGACCTAGATTTGTACCAACAATTATATTTGAAGGCGTATGTGTTTAAAATATTTCACTATTTCTACAAAAAATTGCGTGAACCGTTATTATTATTTTTTTTCCTTAGGTGTACAACGATAGGGACCAAGTTTCGGCTTTTGAAAACTTAGAAAGTACTATTTGTGCAAAATTACTGGCACGTAGTTTCAATAATGTATGCTACCAAGGAAAAATATCTAATGCGATTTCCTGCTAAAAAGCTTGTTTCTCCTATATAAATAAAAAATAAATTAGAATTCATAATTGTAATTTTTAATAAATGTCACTTCTGTTATAAATAATACCTTTAAGTATCAAATTGATGTAGAAATTTAAATTTGTATCTATATTTTAATTATTTTTTACTAGTTTGATTTTAAATTTCTTACGAACACAATAAGACAATTTACGTTTAACAATTTAGAAGTAAAATTAAATATATATGTTTTTACAATAACATTAAGTTGAATTAAAAATAACTATTTTTTTATAAAATGCTGTCTTTATTTTAAATAACATTAATTTAGTATAAATTATTAAAAGAGCTACTATGGTGGATTTTTTTAGATACGTCTGAATTAATCAATAAAAGTATATGTAAAATAGTTTTTAGATATTTTTGAAATGAATGAAATTAAATTGTCATATATAGTTTTGATTTTACGATAAATATGTGAAAAGTCATGACTTTCCGAGGTCTACCAGTAATAGCTTTCATAAATTCCTGTTCCCGTTATTTATATAAATTATTTTTACTATAATAATCACATATAATTACTGTGATTTCATAACAATTAAAAAAAATGAATAGAATTAGTAAACATTTGTTATTTTAATTTTTAGTTGTATAGAAAAATATGAGAGATATTTTATTCAAATGAATTAAATGAACAGTAAAATTAAATAATAGCCTGGGGAATATTATTTCTAATTATAATTCATTAAAAATTTTAATTTATGGAATATTTTTTGGAAGCAAGTAGTATGACGAAACGCAGAAACTAATATAAAAATTAATTTAGATATATTTATATCTTACTTGTTTGTTTTTTAAATAAATTTATTGATTTTTATTAATGGATAGGATTTATTTAGTACGAAACTTGAAGAGTATCTAAATAAAATAATGCGATTACGACGTAATCGTGAAAATATTTTTTCAACTTGTTATTTTTTTGGAAAAAAACTTAAGAAAATGATATTGATTTAAATGCAACGTACCTGGAATAAAATAAAATTTATTTTTCGTAGATTAATTTAAATTAAAATGTGTAAATACAAATTTATTTCTTTTTTATGTTGTAAATGAGGTATTCAAGTCATTACAAGTAAATATCTGTCTTGAGAATATTCACATTATGAATTTAAATTAAAAATATTTAGTTTTACAAAACAAATGGACGTCACAATAAAATCTTAAAAATAAATCTTGACAAGGGCAACAATCATTTAAAGAACTAAATTTGTATAGAATTTTCAAACTAGGATCTTATTCTCTTAGAAAATGTATATAGATACTAAAATAGGGGAAAGCAATACTTAAAGGTAACAAATGGAATCATTCATATTTTTTATAAACTTTAAGTGTCTATGTTACTTACAGTGTATAAAATACACTTATAACACTGGACTTTTCGCATAATTATTTTTATTGTATTTGATAAAATGTTTTATCTGTTAAGTTTTTAGAAAAATTTGTTAAAAATTTGATTGTTTGATTTAAATTAAAGTAATTTTTTATATTTTACGTTCTTAAAAAATATGTAGAACTTATTAGAAACGGCGTAATTAGGCAAAATAACTGCCGAGATCATTTATGATCTGATTTTTTATTTGTAGTTTTATTTTATTTCTATTTGTCTAGTGTTCTAATAAATTGTGATTTTAAGTTTTAAAATTAAATAATTCAAATAATTTTGTGAAAAACATTTCAAAGCTAATTTATGGTAAACTGAAAACACAATTAAAATTTATTTGTTAAAAAGGAACTTCAAATTTAAAGTAAAGATAAAAATAATATTAAATACATGCATTTGAATTTCAAAGGAGTTTTAAAAAAAATGCAAATATTTCATAATATAATGTAAAGAGAAATTGAGGAGTCCAAATGTTTTTATATTATTTCATTAGTAAAAAAGGTTTTGATTGTAGACCTTAACTATGAAGTCAATGCTACTTACGGGGGACAAACGTTTCAGACACATATTTTTGTAGAACACTAAAAAATTCTTCCCTTTTTTAATAAAAAATGTATAATAGATGTTTTAAAAAAATTGTCACTTTCTAAGATATAAATAATATTTTAAGTAATTAACAGTAGCTTTATTTAATGACTATACAGGCTCAATTATAACTTATTACTAATAACATTTTATACTCAAAATAATTTTGTTAAACAAATTAAAAAATGTTTTGGTATATTAATTGGCTTAAATGATATGTAAACAAGGCAATTTTTTTGCTTAAATAGAATAAAAAATGTTGTTTGAATCGACATCATTTGATGATTTTTTGTTTAAATTATTTTTTTTTGCGATAAATTAGTGCGTATATACTTTAAGCACTCCGATTATTTGAACAGAAAAAGAGCCTTCTAACACTAATACGAACATTTCATTACAGAATAATGAAATTATTGAATTTCCGTTAAAAAACTGAACCCAGAAATTGTTACGAAAACTGAAATTGAAAAAGAGCACACCAACACTTTTACAGTGATTTCTTTATTAACTGATAATTCTTTTAACTCGAATATAATACAGTCAAATAATAATCTTTTAATCCCACCGTCTGAATTATTGCCAGAAAATATTAACAATACAACTCAAGAAAACACCATCATAATAGATAATTCACTCAACTTTAATAGAAAAATGTCTAAAAAATGAATAGAAAATATTATAACAACTAACACTAACAGTTCGTTGCTAAGTAAAACAACTGAACTCATTACTTCAGAAGCCCTGTAAAAGACAAAAGTGAATGGAACTTGATTACGTGGAAATAATAACAACAAAAATTACGCAATTAGAACTCGGTCTATGATGAACATTGGTAATAAAATTATTATTTCAATAAACTTAAGATTTTTACTATATACGATAAAGTTTTTTTTTCAGAATCATTTTATTCAGTTTGTCCCGAAATCTTGAGTACACATTTATCGTTGAGATGTCCTTGTCTACATGTCGCTATGGATCTGTATTGTGGTGCTGGCGGTAACGTCTACCAATTGGCCAAGAGATACAAACAAGTAAACGCTGTGGATATCGATGCTAAAAAATTGTAATTCGCCAAAATTGTAAAACGCTGAGATTTATGGAGTCAGTGAGAAAATTAAATTTATACAAGGAGAGATTACTTCGAAATTGCAGAAAACTTAAAAAAATATAAGCCACAGGTCATAGTGACGTCTCCCCCATGGGGCAGCCTTGCGTATAAGAATCAAGAATTTTTTTTATCATTTTTCTTATGTGCTTGTTTTTGTATAACTTGAATTGAATTTTTTTAATTATTATAGTTTTATGTTAATTTTTTACTGTAAATACTATATTAAATTACTCTTGAATTTATTTCGTTGATTAGAAAAAAGTAAATATACTCTAATCCTTAAAATTGTTTTGCTAAAAATATTTTTTATATTGTATTCTATAATAAATAATAATTATAAAAAATTAATTACTCTTAGTTATTTTTCAACTGATTAATTTGAAAATATTTTATTGATTTATTATTAAATTAATTTATAAATTTGATTTATGTTGGATAAATATTATTAGAACATTTTTGGTGCTTCTAAAGGCTGTTAAATAAATCATTGATAATTGATAAAAATAAAAAAAATTAATATCTAGTAATAAAAATTCTCTTATTGTTTTGATGCTTTTCATGTGCATAAAGCATAATGAATAAGCGTCAAACTTAATATCAAACCGACATTATTATCGGTTTGTCGCAGATGATAAAAACATCGTTTTTAAAATATATATCTGTTGTTTTTTAAGTTTTTTTTGTGGTGTTCGATTATTAAATCGAACACCACAAATATATTATACTTTACTATACTTTACTAGTAATATATTTTACTTTCCATTTATTAGCCCCTAGTAATCAATTATAATTTTTTGAGTTTAACTAAATTAATTTTTTTTTAATATTAATTATTTAAACTACATAAGGATAAATAAAAAGTAAAAACTCTTAGAATAGTCTCTTTTATTATGTATTTGACTGAAAATTTTGAAATCAATAAAATTCATTAGTTAATCACAGCACCAAGTGCTGTGATCAACTAACATCAAGTGGGCATTAATGATAAAGGAGTCCGAAAAAGTATATTAATATAATAGAAGATATGATGGCACTTGTACCAGGGTAAAAAGCGTAGGAGGAGTATCAGAAGGTTTTCGGGTAAGAGTCGGAGTGCACCAAGGTTCTGCTTTAAGCCCTTACTTATTCTTATAGTGATGGATGAAATTACTAGAGAAATACAAGGAGAGGTGCCGTGGCCAGCTATGATGTATGGTTCAGAGTGTTGGGCGGTTGATAAGGAAGTAGAGCAGAGAATGAGTGTAGCAGAGATGAGAATCTCATCCATCTTAAATGGATGAGTGGAGTGATTAGAAATGATAGAATAAGGACCGAGCATATAAGAGGGAGTATAGGTGTAGCGTCAATCGTGGATAAGATGACAGGAAATAGACTTAGATGGTTTGGTCATGTTATTAGAAGAGAAGAATCGTAAGCTGTAAGAACACTTATAGAAATGAATGTTGAAGGAAGAAGATGTAGAGGAAGACCAAAAAAGAGGTGAAGGGATGCTATTGAATGTGATTTGAGGACAACTGATATGAGCGTAGATGATGTGGGAGATCGTGTCAAGTGGAAGTTTAGGATAAGGGTGGCCGATCCCAAGTAGGTGGAATTAAGGCGAGGAAGAAGAAAAAGAAGGAGTTAATCACAGCACCACAAGACCAACACCTTCATAGTTTCGCATTAAAATAAAAAAAAAAAAAAA